TGCTGCCAACAGCAGTGGCGCAGCCAGCTGTTAAAACTCGTCTGCTCCTCCTGCCGTCCTTCCCCCTCAGAGGCAGCATGCAGGAGAAAACGACCTGGCCTCCCAGACCCTTGACCACCACTCGCAGCGCTCTGAAGCCCCGTTGGATGGTCTGTGGGGTGCCTTTTGTGCCATTACCGCCCACATGGCAGAGCGGCAGAGGCCAGTAGTCTGCTGCATGGACAAGCCTTGGCACTCTTTCCACGACATCTTCTGCGAGCCCCTGGCAGGCAGCAAACCTCTCCGGACAGCAGGTCAGGGCGGCAGAGAGGTGCCTCTGTCCCCTGCCGCAGGCAGGCACGCACAGCAATCACTCGCTGCGTCTTCCGGCTCTTCCTGCATGGTACAGGGTCTGTCAGGACAGTTGCCTCCCTTGGAGCCGTGCCCAGCTCCTCCTCAGCTTGGAGGGCGCGAAACGTGTTCTTCACAGGCACGTCTTGAGCAGGAGCAAGAGCCTTTCTCCTTCTACGAGAGGTGACCCGTTTCCAGCCCTCTTCAACGCTGTTAGGCTCTACCTGTGTTACACACGCTGCAGAGCCCTCCAGCAACTGTGCTGCAGTGGCGCTGGGGACTCCTGGAGCTGCACAGGCTCTGAGAATACCCTGCCAGTCTCCTGCTCATCTTCGCGGATGCTACGCAGCCCACTGACTTCCGCCCAGAACTCCTTCACCTGGCGACAACTGAGCAACCACAGCACTCTCAGCTGATCAGCCCAGGCCCCACAGAGAGGCCCCAGGCACTCCCTGCAGCCTGACACCTGTAGAGCTGCAGCTGCTGTCAGAGGGCCTCTCGGGCTTGAAGCCTCAAGCCCAGCTGATGCAGCAACTCCGAGAGCCACTGGGCCCTGTGCTCTGCGGCATGTCATGACCGTGTCTGGGGGAAGGACACGCCATTACAAGAAATTAAGGTGCCTTCTTTGCCTTCTGGCATCCTTCTGCGTGAACTGCTGCGCAGACTGCTGTGTCTGTTCGCTGCCTCTGTGAGCTGCACTCTGGTTGTGTCCAATGACAGTGACAGCACGGAGAAAGACCCTTGGGGCATACTGCAGGAACACCGGATTTAGGATGCACCAAAAGGCACACCAAGGCCCCTGGGGTGCAGCAAAGCCCCTTTGTAAATTGAAAAGCACATTGGGACCTCTTAGGTACACCCAAAAGCACACCAAGGACCCTACCATGTGCCAGAATGCAGATAGATACCAAGAAGTATCCTCTGCCTGAGAAATGGTTGCACAAAGAGGCCCAGAAGCTCTTTCTAGAGCCTAATGTGGTTTTGGGATGCACAAAAAGGAATGCTGAAGCCACTTGTGTACCCTGAAAGGCATGTCAAAGGCTTTGGAGCACTCCAAAACGCACCCCCAAAAGACAGGCATAGGCCTCTAATGCATCCCTGAAAGGCAGGCAGGTTTTGGGGCATGCCTGAAAGAAATCCAGAGGGTCCCTCGATGGCCTGACGTACACGCCAAAAACCTCACAGCACCCGTGACAGGCACATAGAAGGCTTTGGGGTGCACTGTAAAGCCTACTTAGCGTCTCAAGGCACCCCTGAGATGCAATCTGCAAATAAGTGTACTTTTAGGGGTGGTAATATTGGCAGAAACATAAGAAAGGTATGGGCTAATTCTTCAAAACAGTGAGCCTCAAATTCTCTTTCCTGATGTCTGTAAGCACACCTTGACTTAGTGATTTTTGTATGTGTGTATATGCACATGCAAGACAGTCTACAGATCAGCTGTACTTTTTGAACAGAACCACCACCTTTCATTCAGTTTGCCATGTGACAACAAAAGTGAGAGGTTAGAACCACAGAGGAAGACTATGAAGAAAAGAGGGAGGTCCAGAGATCATCTTCTATCTACCAACCCCACCATGGCTGTAACATCCCCACACCCTTCTCTTATTCCTACACTACCTTATTCTCAGTCTTCCTGTGTTCCTTCTCATGTTTTTTAGCTGTAGATTCAAATAATGCCAACTGAGTCTCCAGACAGGTCCTTAAAGCTTTCCTTGCAGACCCAGGAAACCATTACCAGAACACCTAGACTGGCTCAGCAGGTAAGAAAACAAACATGAGCTGGATCAGGCAGCACCAAAATATCAATCAACTATAATGACAACTATCCCTGCCATGAACTTTAGCATTCAGATCAGAACAATTCAGAAGCAATATTTAAAATGGGAGGAAAGGACACCATACACCCCCTCTTCCAGCCATAGTTGGGCAGGATGTCCAACTGAAGAAGCTGTCTGCCTGCTACATGCAGCAATTGCTTCTTTTGTTTACAGTACATTTTACAAAACATTCTCAATGTTCCCAGGTTTAGAATCAGATATCATTATTTTAACAATGCCAAGGGAATTCCCCTGTGAGACAAGTCCAATTTCTCATTTGAAACTTGGTACAGAATTGACCAATGGATCTTGAAAACTGGTGTCTATCAAAAAGCCACTACGAAACCAGGATTAAAATTTAATTTTCTACATTCAGGGCTACCTTTGATCTGTTAACCACTGTAACTGATGTGCTTTTCTTTAAAACTGGTATTTTATTTCACTTGTGCAATTACAGCCTTCAGTAACAACGTTTAAACTACCTCTCCAGAAAATGTGAGAAACATTGTATTTGTATGTAAATTTTATTCTGAAAAAAAAGCACACTGCTTTGACAAGTTATAGGAAAAGGTTATGTGAAGTACAGCATTAAAAAAAAAAAAAGAGGCACTTTCTTTTTTCTTCTTAGTCTGGGAATTTATTTATACATGTATTTTTGTTATTGGCCTAGAACTCTTTTTTGAGTTTAGAATAAAAAACAATTATAAGGGTTTGGTAAATCAATTATCTACCCTTTTTGAACTTTCCTGCTGCTACATTGTTGGTCTTTGCTTTCTTCTTTGCAGATCCCTTAGATTCTGGCTCTTTGCGCTTGGCTGATGTGATGGAGCCAGTCACCTTGAAGAAGTCATCCAGTCGGCCCTGGGTGCTGCCTTGCCGACTCTTGCTCAATCTTTTGATCCCATTGCGGATCCGTTCTTCATTGAACTGCTTCTCCTTACACATGAATTGGACGAGCTCGTCTTCATTTGGCTCAGTCCACTTCAGTTCAACAGCATCAGGGTCTACCACATCAGGCTCTAGAAAAAGCTTCTGGGCCTCTTTGTGCAACCAGTTCTCAGGCAGAGGATACTTCTTGGTATCTATGTGCTGCACAATCTTCTCAATAGTTTTGTGTTGCTTGATGAGCTCAATAGCACGCTTCGGTCCAATGCCACGGATGCTCTCACAGTAGTCACAGCCTAGGAGGATACACAGGTCAACAAACTGTTCCCAGGTCAGATCTAGATCCTGCAAAATACGATTCAGATGAAACTCTTGGACTGGTAACTTCTTAGCCTCGCTGGCAGTAAGGTGCCGCATCAGTACAGGACTGCCAAATGTCAGGCAATCCATATCTTCAGTAGCAGCTGCATAGACTTTACCAGCTTTCACCAAGGTGGCACAGCTGGCTTCAGCTTCTCCTGGTGCCTCAACGTAAGGAATGCCCATCAGCATTAGTAACTTCTTGCATTCATCAGTGTGCTGCTGGGTTACCTTGACCAGCCTCTTGCTGAACTTCTCAATGTTGTTCTCCTCTCCAGCCTCTTGAGCTTCTTGCAAATGCTTCTCTGCCTCAGCCCGGCGCTCCGTTCGCTTTGCTAGCTCCCCTGACTTCAGCTGAGGGGGCTTACCATCAAACACGTAAACTGGCTTGATGCCATTCTCCACCATGCGGATGGTGCGGTAGAACATGCCCATCAAGTGGCTGGTGGTCTCACCCTCCTCATTCTGCAGCGCCTCAGCTCCCTGCCGCACAGCGATGAGGAACTGGTAGATGCTCATGGATGCATCAATAGCCACCTTCCGGCCAAAGTAAGCCTTGATGTCATTCTCCCGGATGGCAGCAGGGGCCACGTCGGCAATGAGCTTGGCCAGGCCATGGATTCCCATCCTGGACAGCAAGACAGGGCCAGTGCAGCCAAGGGGGAGGGGAGCAGGAGGGCGAGGGCAGGGCCGCGGGAGGCTGCAAGGGGAGGGAGCCCGGCCCGGAGGCACCTCAAGGCAGCGGGAGGGCCTAGACGGGAGGGCCTAAACGGGAGGGCGCTCGGCTC